GAAAGTGTTGCGGTAGTAATTAAGGCAGCAAGTTGTGGCATTTGATTGAAACTAAATCCACAATTTGAGGGTTAACAGTGGCACCGTCGCTGAGGAACAGTTCAGTACAAATCCCCGCTGTTCTCCCATTTAACAAAGAAATTATGGTTATTGATCAATCCTGATTTTAGCGCCCGGCACACGCGTCATGTTCCTGCTGAAAGAGAAAGATGACACGCCGGCGTTGTTTACTGAAATGGGCGAATTAGGCCTGAAAGAATGGAGGGAAACAGCACGTTGGGTGAAATTCGAGGAAGACGTGGAACAGGGTAAGCCCGTGGTGAAGAGCATGTTTCAAAGTTCAACTTGAATGAGATTTTTCAGGTGGCAATCGCTGGTCAAAACCACATGTGGCGACGCTGTCGCTTCATTCGTTGTTTCAGTTGAGAAGTTGCCTCCTGAATGGCCTGTTCATGAATGATATGCCTGAAACCGATCTGCCAGCAATCATCGGTTAGTTTTTGTGAATAAGGAAATGTGTTTTAAACGCTCCAAAATATTTGAATTGGAATGGTGGGAATCTACTTTTAATTGAGTGGTACCAATTTTTCGACGTTATCATTTATATGCACGGTGTCGTGGCCGCACTGGGTTTCCATATTGGCTATGTTTTGAAGGATGCTCCAGGTTTTTTTTTCAGCCTGAAGTATTTACTCAAAGGCTCAGGTCATCTGCGGAGCTGCAAAGCCAAGCCGCTGGCTGATCTTTGATAGAATCATCAATCATATTTGAGGAAAGGATGTATGTGTTTGTGCCACGGCGTGAGTTCCGTGCATAGAGTAAAGTTGAGGAGGGGAGCTGTTCGATTTTTTGCACGCGATCTTTGGTCAAGCTATGTAAGTCTAGTTTGGCACAAAGAAGCAAAGTTGTCTAGCCACTCCTAAGGATTGGGACATTTTCAAGGGTGGAAAAATGGTACCCTTCTCTAAACGACCTGCTGCATTCAGAATTCGAAATATAATAGGAGCTCTCTCCAAGAAGATGCGCCAAAACTGACGAACAGCTATCGTAGTTCGTTGCTGTGTTGCTCTGTGCCGCGTAATTTGTTGAATTTATGACAGGGAAATGCGTCATTTTGACGTCGTGGTTATAACGTGAATACGATAGAATTTCTAATGAAATTCACTAATTCGGCCAAACCGTGCGCAGATTCTTCCGCAGTTCTTTTGCAGTTAGCAAATTTGTCCGAGTAGAAGGAAATGAATAGGATTAAGCGCAGATTGAAGCGAAGTGAAGGAAGGGAAGGGGTGCTCAGAGATTGACGGGCAGGATGAGTGTGTAGGGAAATAGTATTTGTTCTGTTCTACAAAAATGCATAGGTTGTAAGTCATAAGCGGGTGGCGGTCGATATTCTGAATGTTTCTTCTTCTTAAAAAGCCCTCAAATTTACCCATTTTTGTGATTGATTTTGGCTAAGAACGGCTGTATGGTTGGTGCGTTACATATGAGCGAAGATATAAAATCGATTCTGATTAGTCTAATGTGTAATTACGCTTGTATGTGACAGTGGAGATGTGAAGTGGAACGTCAGTAATAAAAAATACAGGAGGGAACTGTTGGTCAAAGACGAAAATGAAGTCACCTCCTCTATCAGCGGCTGAGCGGAATAGCATTTATTTGTGGGTTGGGTTAGTGGTGCTGGACAATGCCGATGCTACATCCTAGGGCCTTAGCGTTTCGGTTTTGTCACAAACCACCCTATACTTTTATAGATGCTCCCGATGGCGAAATACTTTTTTCGAGGGAAGGCTTACTTCAACCGGAATCCCGGCCCTTGCATTCAACCAGCTGAGTAATCAAACACTTATCTCCAAACTTATCAGTTCTAGAGGTTCGATGCTAAGGACTTGATGTGTCATAGCATTGTAGGCTGCTAGGAAGTTTCGAGTGTCTTCAAAAGTAAACGTGGAGCGTAGCTGACTGTTCACAGGACCGCATGCAGTAGAGCGGGCTGTTGTCACTTTCACCATTGATAGTTAGGGCTTCATCCGGAAGTGAAATGGTCGATGGAGTAATGGGAACGCAGTTTGGGAGATGTCGGCTATAGGTTCTCAAGGCGGCCCCCCGGCGACAGTCCTCAAAAGTGTGGCGTTGAACCTCCCTCAGATTAGTAGACCTCTTGATCGGAATCCCGGGAGAGGGCTTCCTTATCCGATGTGCATGTTGGGAGGAACTGTTAACCCTTAGAGTCTTTGATACTCGTCAGGTAAAACTAGCCTAAGTTGCTGTGGCTGGTGGAGATTTATATACTCGGAAATAGATAAAGAAGCTGAGCGCATGGCAGTGTTTAACATTCCGGGCCTCAAACCTCTTCTGTGAGCACACGCTGCTTTTTCTCCGTTCATCGTTTATGTGGGTTCTCAACTGCCAATTACCTAGGTAATAGCAAACTGCAATGAGATAGACTGGGTGCTTTCAGGTGGCTTACCTATGTTATTACTGAATGCGGTAATTCACAAAAAATAGTTCACAGCAGTCGCCATAGCGACGTATGGGGCATTCTCAATCGTGGGTAAATTTCCAAAGAGCTCAATAGAAATTGTATATGTGTAATGCTTTCTTCTGGGGGAATGTCATCATATAGGCAAATAGCACTGGTATACTCATTACTGAGCGATTGACGTCAATTGTATTTCTATTGCTGCTATGACACAGCTTTTTGTTCCATTGGCACCTAAGTTCCATTCTTCTCAAGGTAATCCTTGAAAGCGTAGCAAACATAATCATAGTTTTGATCTCCAGAAAGTCGACAAAATGTTGACCGCTGTATTGCTGTGTGGAAACTTCGTAACAATGTTAATTGGTGGAACATAGCTTATGGGGTACTATTTTTAATGCTAGTTGGTCCCTCGGTTTACCGGCTGGTATGTTAATTACCCAGGCAAATCGCAGTTGACGACCCATGTGAAAGGTAAACGCATAGAAAATTGCAGCATGTGCTCTTAGTAGAGGTTCAGGGCCCGGAATGTTGGATGGTGATGGATGAGGTAAAGGCGCGGGTCTTTCATGAGCTTAGCTTTAAGGAAAGAATCCAGCCTTTGGTAGGTCGAAGACCACTGGAGGACTCCTATTATGACCGGCAAAGGAATCCTCCTCTGGGTAGAGTGAGTGAGTGAGGGTTAACCGGTTGCAGTACAACCTCTGTGGTTATTTTAAGCACCTACTGAAAAGAGTGTAGGCGTAAATGACAGTCAGTTTGCTTTCGGTACAAACTTGAAGCACACAGCTTGAGAGCAGTCAACATAGAGCCTGCCCTTCTTTATACGGCCCGAATTGGTAATGTACATGAAGCTCCTCGATTATGGTGTTTATTTCCTTTGCCTACTGAAAAGCGCAATGTTTTAGACAGTTACCGGCCATGTTAACATCTCATTTAGAGTCGTTAACAAGGAGCTATTACTCTTATGAGGTCGGTGGTGTAGTGAGATAAGCGCAACCACTTAAGGTTACTCACTAGGGAACTAGGGCTTTGCCCTTCGTATTAGTTATCCAGCCCACTTCCTGTTACCTTGCGCGAAGGGCAATGTTAATGGATTAGGATGAAGAATATGGTGAGAAGCGAGTAAGCAGTTCCGAGTGAATTGCGATGAACTTGAACTCGCGAAAACATGTATCAATTTTTTGGGGACGATTTCTGCTTCATTAACGTGAAAGTTTTTCTGGTATTCATGCTTAATTCTCGAGAAGCGCACTTGCTGTCCAGCGGCAAACAGGTTTTCTGTGCCCTTGAAGAGTCACGGAAACCCTTTGACGTAGTTGCTCTGATAAGAAGTGTTCCGTTCGTTGAGCAATAGATATGCTGGTAGAGGTCCAAAGAAGGAGCCCTACAACTTTTTTTGTAGCATTTTCTCTCATTACGCGCGGAAGGAGAAATGTTGATTCCTGGCGGGACAGAGTCTGTAAGGGCACATATATACTTATAGCGAGGTATAGTAGTCTGGCTATACGAGAGTGTCCGTAAGATCGGTCTAGACTTTAACGTGCCAGGAAAGCGGCCAAGAGGACGCCCGAAGCAACGATGGCTTGATACGTTGCATGAGGACTTGAAATTAGTTGGCCTTCATCCCGATCAGGCACATAATCGGGAAAAGTGGCGTCGTAATACCAGGAAAGCGGACCCCGCCACAGGGTGGGACAAACGCTGAAGAATAAGGTACAGTAGGCTTAGAATTGGCGGGTGTGTTCCGGTGCACTTAATCTCAAGTGGGTTCCTCTGACAATTTCATTCAATTATTTATGATATATTGAGATCGTAGTAGTAGCTGTTTTTGAGTATAATGACAGGAACTTCCTTACAAGGCACTTTGCCCGCCACATCACATAAGCTGCGGTGTGTTGTGGCTATTTTATTGCTGGCGGGACATTCTCAAAAAAAAGTAACCTCAAGTGCATAATTTTCGCTTTGCCATTCGTGATATAAGCCATTAGCGGCTGACATCCTATCTGAGTGGTGTTGTTCTATGTGTCGTTGTACCGAATAAGGGATAAAAAAGCGAAAGGATGAAACATCAGGAACATTACTGGCTGGGGCAATCCATTAATAGAGCGTCCAAGGCAGAAATAAAAATGACGTGTCCGTCAGAAAATGGCACTCTCGTAAGAGCGTGACTCGATAGATTTTATGTCGTTAACTGTGGTTAGAAGTTGAAAATGGGATGCTGGATGTTGTTATCAACACTCAAGTAAAGTATGCGCCATGATGAAGTATAAGCGAAAGCGTGGGCTGTGCTGGACCAATGCGCCACCATAGTTCGTTTCAGTAGGCCCTACTGGACAACGTAACTTTTAGTGAGCTCAGATCTGTCCAACTTTGAGGCATATTTTTTTTTTTGTCGGCACATAGAGTTTCAGAGTCGTCACACAAAAGGCGTCAATTTGGTTCCGACGGGCTTTGCATGTTAATCACATTATGGTTACCGTGACCATCATTTGTGGTCTGTTATTTTTTGTGGGGCGTGAACAGAAGTGACCGGTGAAGGTTACAAAACGGTATTTACGTCCCAGACCATGGTATTACGGTGTTATGTCCGCCTGTTCGGACGATGAAGCTTCTTGAACCTTTCATTGGCGGTATGTGACATTCCCACGTTGGGAATGAGTCCTGCACCCTCTGCGTCTGTGCTCTCGATAGGTCTCGAGTGGTAGCGGTACGCGTACCCAGTTATAGGGTAGACCGACGTTTTGAAAAAACGCAAGGTGTAAGGGATCTGTAACCGGGAAGCGACGCGTTCACCACAACCCCCAGCGGCGATCTCAGTGAAACACAACGGGGAACGTTGTGCTTATTAAGGGCGGACAAGTGGTCTCGGATTGTTAGTTGTAACAATACAGAATCAGTCTTGATGTATGTGGGGGGGGGGGGCTGGGGGCATGGTCCAATCGTCAAGTTGCCCTACTAGTAACAACGAGGGGTCGTACCTGGTTGAGTTTATGAGGGAGGGGGGTCGTATCCGCTTCAGTCGCGTGAAATTACATGTGAGTTTGTGGTGAAAGTGGAGTTTTCACGAGTAGTAGGCTAGGTGAGTTGGGAGCGCATGGGAGAAAAATTCGCCGTTTCAGCGCGCGTATATACCCCCACCCCCGCTCGACGGCAATTTTGGAGGAAAAAGTGGGCGGAGTTTCGTGTTTTCGTAGGGTGAGTGCTGCCAGAATTAAGTGCTATAGATAGGATGATGGTGGGTTGAGGTGGGCGAGGTGTGGAAAAGGGGGCGTATATCGAGTCCACCCTGAGGGAAGGGGGTTCCGTAACAAATTTTCAAAAAGTAACAACGATAGGACCGACCCTGGCTGGGGGGGGGGTGGCTTCTTTTGGTCACAGTCCTGGTAACATCGCAATGTATTCCATCGAACAGACATGAATTGTTTTTGTTTGTTTCCGTGAAAGTCAGTGTGTTGGGGGGCAATGAAGGGGTTGGCGTTGCGTCCGATTTATTCGCTTTAGGCGAGAGGTATGCTGGCAGGAAAAGTGTGTATGACGATGTTAGCCGTACATCGATGTCGTTTAGCATTTTGAAGCGCATTCAACTGACGCTCTGGGCTTGCCGAGTTATGGATTTCACGGAAGCGGCCGTGGTCCCGGCGTCACGCCTTCTTGCGAACTCCTCGTTCGACTGACTCTCTCAGTCCCCCATCTCCCAAGGAAAATGACGTAACAGCATTGACCGCAAAAGAAATCTGCTGTCGTAAGTGGAGGGAGCTGATGTTTTCTCGACTGAACACCACAAAAAGACAAACAGTGCTACTGTTGAGATTAGAAGAGGGCAGTATAAGCTGATCATGAATCAGTTCTGGAATGGGGGGGGGGGTGGGGGAGAGGGGAGAAATTCATATACCTTTAAACTGTAGAATGATGGCCCAGAAATCAGTTTTCCCCATAACGTTTAGCACTGAGTTTGCGTATGGCTGAATGGCTGAATTGTGGTTTTTTATTTTCTGGCTAACAACTGTATGCCGATTCGAAACTCCACTGCAGGCGTTCTGCATCAAGACATGAAAAGGCTTTGGTGCAACGTTTGAGTTCAGAGAGATCGTCAGTTCCACTACCTTCTTACATAGCCCTTCGAAATCCGTAATTGATGATCGAAAGTGTGAAGTGCAACGGCTCTAGGATGCCGTCTTTTTGCGGTTCCCCTCAATCTTTGGTACTAAATGAGTGTTTTCAGAGCTCCACTGTATCGGCATAGGGTTCTGCTTGGAGTTCGAGGTTGCCATAAAGTTGCGGCTGATGGCATAAATGTCAAAATGGAATCGCTAGATCAACAGTAGTTAACAGTCCATTTAAGCCCAGGTCCAGCAAATACAAAATTTTCTCCCTTCTCCATGTAGATTCTGCTCACATTATTAGCGTCCAAGGGCTGTTGAGTTTCAAGCGGCAGTGCTCTGGCGGAATTCGACCATTAGGGACGGTGTCTAAACTACACGTTAAAGGCTGCGATTCTCGCTCCTATCACAATAGGCCTCCTTGATCGCCTTGAACTTCTCCATGTTTCCAAATACCCTATGTAATGTTCATTTTTTAATGACCATATTGAATAGGCAAGGGCTTCGGTCGAATAAAAAAGGGCATTCAATGATATTTCGCAGCAGTTTTGTCTATAAACCTTCCAAGGTTTGAAAAAAGTCACACTTGCCCTCTCCCCTTATTCCTATTCCTGTGAGGAGGTCTATGTGCGTTTTGCGAGCATGCGAGTGCAATCAAGGGTATTTCTCACAGTATTAGCCGACGCTAGTTTGCGTAGATTCTCGATACTTATGAGCTTTTTTCAATTCAAAGGACTATTATTCGGAGGAATCCGCATCTCAAATCACATCCAATTTATCCTATTTCTACTGCTTGAAGTTTTGCGGGGGAAGCGTATTCAGAAATTATGGGACGAGTGAGGGCGTAATGTGTTGTCGAGAGAAGGAAAGGGAAGGAGGGTCTGAACTGAAAAGTTCCGTACATATGCCTATGGTTCAAATTCTAGTTTGAAAAAATCTATTGCTTAATTTCGAGCGTGACGACATGAACCCGACCAAGATAGATCGCATTGAAACCACCACAACATTTGCTGAAAACTCGTCATTTACACGGATAGTTAGATGCTACTTGTGTAGTTCAGTCATGAAATTGTGATTGCTATTTGCTTGACGAAGGCAAAACAAGCAGCTATCAACGCCAAAATGAAAATGGCCTTGCTTCGCAGTTGATTTTTTTTTTTTGAAATTGCACACATAATTCGAAGGGGCCCGCTCGGGCCCGGGCGGCGCGCCACCGAGCCCGACGCGCCGGGCCGCTGCGCAATTGGACGAGCAGTGCGGGGCACGGAAGTATGAAATGGCCTAAAGAAGTGGGAGACGCAGATATCGGTGTGGCATCAGTTTAAAAACGTCGGTGGCGGATGAGGCAGGGAGGGCGAGCCCAATATGCCCCTGGCTCCTCTGCACTGCGCATTGCAACCAAAAAATGACGCTTCCTTTGTGATTACGGACCAGTGCACCTCATTTTTCGAGGTGGTTGTACCAATACTATATTCAGAATGTGCTGGTACATTCCGCCCAATGGCATAAATTTATGGAAGTTTACCGTTCGGGACAAATCGTAACTTTGGCACTGTTGTTCCTGTTGATTCGGTTCTTAAGGCCGAGCGCCATCGATTATGGCTAATTTCAAGCGTTTTTTTTTTCAATCTAAGAGATTCAGAGCTTGTTTCTTGGGTTAGTGAGACCTCGATGCAGGTATTTGAATTGCTGGAAGTCGAGTTATTAAATGGGTATTTGGGTTTTTTCTACCCTTTCCTGTCCTGAACTTCAGTAAGAGCTGGATTTTTCCCGGAATTTGTGAATGGAGATGAACCTGGCTGGAAATGAAAAAGCCTGAAGCCAGCGTCACAGGCGCTGACGTCACTATATTTGTTTGGCGTCGGCATCTTTGGCGCAAGTTACATGCAGTCTTCTAACAAACGAATCTGATATTCGTGTTTCCTTGATCAAACTATCTCTAAGGGCTAGTTTCAATCAAATTTGACAGCCTACGGTGATTTGACCACGGCCGTTATTTGTGATCTCCGAGTCAAACTAATTAATAATTTAGCAACATTCATACCATCATATAATAGTAACGAAGTCTTGCAAACTTGGACCACTTTTCAGATGCATTGATCGACGAGTTTGCGAAGGAAGGCGATATCGAAGAAGACATGCGAGATGAGCTACGGGAAATCCTTATGCGGAAACACGTGCACCAGTACGAACAAGTAGGCTTTTTTAGAGACGATGTAGCAAAAATTACGGTAGCAAGGCCGTCGATCGCATATTTCAAATAAAGCATCCGAACTGATATAGGTATCAGGTGTTAAAGACATGGGTCAAACAGACGTCGTCCGAATTTAAAGAACGATGGGTGCAAAGCGATGGGCTGGTACATAAGACGCAGATTGTTTAGAATTGGCGCCGGCAAAATTTCTCGGCGTTCATACATTTGGAAGTGGCCGCTCGGTTTCCCGACTCGAATCCGATACTTTACTGTGTCTTGAGTGTTTTGAAGATCAAACTTTGCTGAAACTACGATCCTAAAGTGGAGGAACTAAAGAAGTCCTCTCAGAAAGAGAGGGGAGACTTGAAGTTGCCTGTCTACGCAACATGGGTGGTGGGCTCTCGAAAGGATTTTCGTGCTGTGTCGGCGCAGACGGCGGGGGTTTTTAGGGAGCAGATCCGTCTTTTTGTTAATTTTTCTTCAATAAGTACATTTTTGTTGTCAACTTACGCCTTCTGAGCTGCAGCGCTCTTCTTGACCGCTTTATCTCGTTACCGTAACTTCCTCGCGTAAGTGGAGCTAGACTGAACGCCCTGCAGTCAGGTTGTCGCGGGGGGGAGGACATTTCACTACAAAAGGGCTGTCATCGACTCCTCCACGTGTGGGCAGAATGAGGTCGTGTTCTGCCTGGTGACGAGATCGAATTGGCCACCAGATGTCCTCAACATTTGGCTCACCCAGCCAATTGAATCGAATTAGAATTTTAATCACGATTCCGCTTCGTAGCAATCATTTTACCCAGAACCTGATGGTTCAAAAGTTGGTTTAAAAATCTCTTTGATTGATTGTTCATGATTCTTACCAAAATGCTTCAGGCAAAGAAGAATGGCCCCAACGGCGACAAAAGCGGTTTCCTCAATACCGTCCGTTCCATATCTGACATAGGAAAATCGTTCTCCCATGGGCGCAACTTGGGAAAGCTGGAAAAGGAACAGTTCGGACCACAGTTGGAGCTACCGAAGGTCAGGTTTCCAACAATAGTGGCATCCACTGAAATATATGAAATTATATGTATGGATTTCAAAGGGTCATGCTTCAGGTGGAGTCATTGCCACGGGACATGAACAAAGATGGCTCTTCAGGAGATATTAGCAAGGGCAACACGCATTTCCTGAAGAAACTCCCGCCTGGTGTCGAAGCAAGCAACGTTCTCATCGGAGAGGTATTTTCTTTAAGCATTTGTTGGAAATGTTTTACTAGGATGAAAAGAAAAAATAGAAAGCATCCGACGCTGACCGGTCCTTCTTTTGGATACGCCGCGCACTTCTTATTATTTCAAACAGAATCGCTGTTTGGAAATTGATTTGGACCTACATACAGGGCCTATAATGGCATACAACATCTAGTCAGAGGCGGCCCAGTGGTAGTGTTTTTCATCTGCTTAGGTAGATCTTCGGTACCAGCTTGCCCTACCCACAGCTGTGCGGGTGTGGCCTGAATGCGTACGGGCAGCTACCGTACGTGACGCGATACACGTATCGTGCGCTGTACGTTTCAGCCACCGTACCAACTTCACCACTTCTGCTCCTTTCACTGGGTTCGACTTCAAGAAATAAGCAAAAACAGAAGGATGATCCTGTACCGGAATTTTAACGTTTTTGAAGTGGGTCGGGGAAAGCATCGACGAATTCATGGTCGCGTAGCAGCCTTCGAAAGTGTAAGGGTCTACATCTAAATTTAGCTAGAAGTTTATTATCTGCACGTGTTGTGTTAGAATTTCGATGAGATTTACGATTGCCCTAAGTAAAATTGGATTCCCATAACTCAAAGATCAAGGGTGTTCTGAATTTTAAAATCGCATGTGGTAGTAGTTTTAAGCATCGAATTTCGCGGTTTTCTTCTTTAGTGGAATTTTCCTGCCCAACGTATATCTGCGCATTGTACGTCTGAAGACGGCCAATGTTCTCGGCCGATTGACGGAGTAACTTGGAAATGTAAACGTTTTGGCAGTCAAGCCTCTGCGACATTGCCTCCTGACATTAGAACGCACTGGCTATAATGTATGGACTTCAAACGATGGGAGTTTGCGAGCCGGATTAAATTCTCTCCAAAGGGGTTGGGGACGAGAATCCCTTTAAATTCATTTGTTTTTAACGATTCAGTTTCTTCATGTGCATGTCTACTTTGACCTACGTACAGATCATTAAATGCAGGCCCTTTTATCAGGACAACCCAGTAAGGAAGAACAAGGAAAATCAAAGAATTTCTGTTTGCAACCCCTTAGGGAGGATGAATCGGATCCTTGAGTTGAAATATAGTGGTTTTGCGAATAATTATACTCGACACACACTCTTCGCAGGACGAGGACAATTTCGTATGCTGAATTTGAGTCAAGTTTGGAAGCACTTGAGGAGCTCATCTGAGCTCCCACATCGATTTCGCTCTCGGATTACTTTGTAGTTAGCCAGGTGCGTTCCAGCAGTGGGTGCCTTTCTGGAAATCTGGAAAATGCAGCAACAATCCTACGTTGGAATTATTCACCTTGTGGCAAATGACGAGTTAAGGAGCAATGTATCAATGTTAAACTTGTTTGAGGGTCCGTGCCGACTCGATCATCTCCCTGAGGCTTAGGTCAACACTGGTTCACGGATCTCAGTATAAGAGGAGATTAGGCGCGTTTGCAATAGCTACCATTGATGGCCTGATGAGGTGTGTCGTGATATCCAAAAATGAAAAGTGAGCAATGCACATTGTCACAGGAAAAATCATTTCAGATTTTCCACGACGTCGCGTACAAAGCTCGAAATAAGGAGGACTTACTCGATGGCGTTGACGAGTTTTTAGATCAGGTAAGGAATCGAACGTGTGAGTTGTATTATGCCGATTTCCACAATATTTTATTTCTGAATTTTTCGCCCTGCAAAATGTCATACCGAATATGATACAGTCCATCTTTTAAGATCTGTTGATCTGCCTCATATATTTATGCACGGCATCATCATGCTCCAGATAGTAACTACCTTTGCGCATGCGAACTGAACCGTCGTGAGCTTTCTCGTCTCCAGGAATTGGAAATACTGTAGTTCTCACGAACTACTGCACAAATGGCATCTCCTACGTCTTACACGAGAGCCCTTCCTTCACATCTCTATCTTACATTTCTCCACTTTTAGCGCTCTTCTTTTTTTAGCTCTGTAGATTCTTCCAGAAAATGTTAAATTCGCCTCATGAGCAGGTTTTCATTCTCCAAATTTCTTTTTCTGTAATTTTTTAAGGAGTTTCGAAAGTTCTTAGGGCTTATCCAGTAGAGGCCCATGAGGAGGGAGATGTGTGCGACAGTCGCTGCCGCTCAGTAAAATTCCAATTTTTTGAATGGGGACGAAATTCCATGGTGCGTGATTTGTTTTTGCTTTCGCGGCTGAACCCTCCTGGAGCTTCCTTCCCTGCAAAAACTGAATAATTCAGGTGCATATGAAATGGTCGCACCGTATGCCCCCAATCCCCCTTCCCTCTTTACTGGAAGATCGCCCTCCTTGTCCGTATCTCCGCTCTTCGCACTCTAAAGTCCAATGTTAGCATCACCTCACAATAATACATCCTTGTTAGTGTTGATGAAGCGACGGTATTCAGATAGATGTTTTCTTAAGGTTACGGCTACTATGCCACTGATAATGGGATCCAACATTCGTACTAGAGCACAATCAAATTCCTTCGCAAGAAAAAAGGAAACAGGTAAGAGTCCACAAGTCGTGGTTTATCGAATGTATCTAAATATGTTATTTGAGTTAGGGACTTCATTGATACATATCTTCCACCAATTTTGAATGTGTGTTTTTGAGGTGGGTCAAGAGATGCTTCTGGAAGGCGTTGAAATGTCCAAAGGACCGGGGAAAGGAAAGGAAGAACTTGAAGAGGAAGGTAGGGTTATTTAGCTACTGTATCCGTCTTGATGTTTGAGCACAACACTAACCTTTCTGGAGCATCCTCTACCTTACTATCGCCTTGGCAATTTCTATTTGTTTTTGCATTCTATTCCCCTCAAAGGATGCTTGTATTCCATCGATTCCCCCCCCCCCCCATATGTTGGTTTGTTTCCAGTCTGATCAAATCGAAAAAGGGGGTGAATTAGGTGTAGATGCACAAGTTCCTAATGCTCTCGATTGTTGGAAATGTTGGGAAAAAACTTTGAGTTTTCAGATTTGTGCTAATACAATCCCTTTTGATGTCATCAAACGCTCCTATTACGTACATTACTGCCATTGCATGCTAGCAAAGTTTTTATGGAAAGCAGCGCTTATTTGTTCAGCATAGGAGGGGGGGGGGACTGCGATGTTGTGGCATTTGCCTCCGTGAGACATGTTGAGGGCTGCACCATAGAGGTTTTGAAGAAATCCTTCGCGGAAAAATCATAACTCTGTCTCACCTATAAATCGTCGACTGAGAGAGCTCGCCCCGTTCTCCATTATAAAAACGAAACGAACAAAAATTGCACTTCTAGTAAACAATTCGAAAAACCGGAAGGACTGCTACGCGTTCAAATTCCCGCCGGACATCTGTCACAAATGCTGGCGGCGGGAACGCTTCCACTTGGTTCTCGGAGTGCCGTCACTAGAAACTCTTTCTGACCTTTTGACTTATTGCACTAACATCTCACACTTCTACTGCATCCTATTCTATCGATCGTTTTGTCTCTATTCTCCAAAATCGAACGCTTTAACCGATTAATTGCGTCGCCTGATACGTAGCCGCCCCAAGGCGCACTTCTTTCCATGCCCGCCTTTGGCTCCGCGCGACCTACCTTCGACTGTCCATAGAGTGGTTTTCGTAAGTTTGTTTCTCTTCGGAAACTGAATCTTTGTGCGTGAAACTTTGTATGTTGTCTCTAGTGATCACAACTGACATATCATGTTGGGAAAGAATGCAAGAATTTCCGCGGAAGATTCCTTTAAGGCTACGAGCGCTCGTCAGGCAGCAAACAACGAACTTCATCTGCCTCCAAGTATTGGCGATTAGCGCAGCCCTCTTGATCACTACAGGCAATGTGACATGTCAGTTCCAGGACCCAGTGGTAACGACCCTGCAGCATTGAAACTAACTGTTCGCTTTATCGGTTTGTAATTCTGGACTCAAGCGAATGGAGTAAGTAGTGACAACTCTGAGCTCCGTGGCATCACAATTATAAAGTTCGCGAGACAAAAAATGATGTGAAACATTGATTCCTAAGAAAATCTTCAGAACCTCATTTTCAGGCGCCTCATTTCCTCAGTGACTTTACCGACGCACTGAACCTGCAATGCTTGGCCACAGCATGCTTCATGTATTTCGCCCTTTTGGCGCCAATCGTCACATTTGGTGGACTGCTTGAGGAAGCCACACACCAACACACCCCAACGTAATGGCAAGCAAATGGAAAACATACGCCGACAGTCTGTTCTTCTTTGGATGAATATTCGTGGAGTATCCAGCCGTTTTTTATCTCCATAATTGAATTTTGGCTGTATTGGCAGCCTTCAATAACAGCGCGGGAAGTGCAACATAATCATGTCATAATTCCAGTCATCAACCACATGAGTATTGCACTTGTTATATGAAAGTATAATACAGGGGGGGGCAAAAAAAAAGACATTTTGCCTCCACTTCCAGATGGATTTAAGCACATTTTACTCAACTCAGACCGAACGGTTCCAACTTATTATTAAAGAGTGCATTCCATTCTATAAGAAAATCTTCATAGTGGCCACGTACGTGGACGGCATCAGAAGAATTAGCCCTGGAAACATGGTGCACTGGTCGATCTCAATGGGGTCTTCGAAGGATCGTGTACCATAACGACCCTTACTGGAAAGCTAGTTCCGAGGGGATTTGCACAGTGGTAGCTAATGCCTCTAGAAAACTATCCAACATTAAATCGATTCACGAAATTGCGTAAGAGCTTCAGGCTGAAGCTCTTACGGTAGACCTCCTTGAGCCTGACGACGGTGACAGATGACGTCATATTCTGAAGACGGTGAGGGCAGTGAAGGAGAGCCTGCGTACACTAATAGAGGAACACTTAGGGAATACTCTGCTGAGGAACTCCCGTCAACGACAGCAATCTCTGCGAAGAAAAAAGAGCCGAAGTCCGACATAGGCAAAATGTCTTTTTTGCCCCCCCCCCTGTATATATAGGCAGTCAGGAGAAATAATGAAAGGAAAAACATCAAACGGAAAGGCCTCCTCTAGAGGCGAGAACGAGTTTAGGGGACACAGAGCACCGGAAGAGCGTATAGAAGCAGATTGAAGAGAGCGTAGGAAGCGAGTGAGACGCAGACACAGCATGGCTGAACGGGCATTCATGCAATGCTTTGCCATAGATTAAAGTCATAAAACCTTAGCTCCTATTGCTTGCTTCATAGACCTGAAAGGGCACGCGTTTATAATTTACCCTCATACCAACCGAATGGTTTGTCTAATTGAAACTAATTATCGCAAAACCCTTCACTTAACAAAAATATCCTGCTGCCAAGCATTCTGTGGATAGTAAAAAGGAGTCAACAGTAGAAGAATTCAACAGGTTAGTTTTTCCTGATTAAATTCCAATTACTTGCGTCAATACTTCTTGACAGTAGCGGCCATCTTAAAAAGCGTGTTAATAATGATTGCAGTGGAAAACTGAATACTTGCCATCGCAGAATGATCAATTGCAATATCTGCTCGCATACGGAAATGCTTATACCTGCATCATAACGCACATCATTTCGTTCTTCACATTCATAGAAATTCTTTCGCAAAACCATAATTTCCCCTCTGTTGAAGATAAATCGTTTATACAGATTTCGAATTTAGGTGCCATATGCGGTGTGTTGTACCATTTGTTCTCTGGTCAACCGTTAACAATTATTGGCTCTACCGGTCCGGTGTTGGTGTTTGAGACGATTGTCTATGATTTCTGCTTGAGACTTGGCATCCAATATCTCAGTTTCCCGTTTCTTTCTGGTGAGTTCCTCGCCTATTGACCCTTTTCATGTCAGATAATCCCTGAACGTTCGTTGAAGGTGGAATGACTGATGAAACCAAAATCAGCAATAGTAGGTACACGTGTGACCGCGCTATCATATCCATATGTGCATTACTGATGCCAAGTTCCCTGTAAGCCGCTTCCTGTCTGTAATTCATTTTTAAAATAAATTATGGATACATGCGGCTCAGAGTAGCAACTAATTTCATATCTAAGTACCACTTCCATATGCATAATGCATAGAATTTTGTAAATTTTCTCCTACAGATGAAACAAGTCAAAATCGATTTGTAAATATTTTTCTAGGTGTCGTACATCACACGCTCACAAAGAGTCTTGGCTAAACACTGATTGCTGTAACTTTACATTAGCGAGCTATAAATGAAGCTGTGAAGATCAAATGTAGATTTTCCATCCATTGCCCATAAAATGATTACACAAAACAGAATATTATTCTGTGGCACTGTCTAGACTATGAAACCTCAACTGATAAAAGAAATGAGGGACTACTCATTTGGGTTTTTCAGCGTATGCAATTGCAAAGAGACTGGCCTAATAGTCTCAAATATGTGGTAGACTAATACAAGACTTTTGTCAACCAAGTTGAGCTTCGGCTCTCACTCGTGATCTTAGTAGGTACGCAAGCATAGTAAGCTGGTGCAACTTGTAGGGACCGGGAACACACGCTCCCTTTCACAGCTAACTATGCTGGATGGAGCATTGAAAGCTAAACCACTGTGTGACTTCAATTCATGTATGGAACTTTTGTGAATTCGGTATTAGTATAATGCAAGCTTACATTTCCTCCTTTTTCCCAATTTACATGGGGTCTCTCAGTACTACCATCTCTTTCTGCTGAACACCAGCTTGTCCACCTAGGCTTCTGATCAACAGTATTGCGGTGTATTGTTCTTGAGAGTTGCGACGGCAGCTTATCATTCCTAAACAAAAAAAGCCAGCTAACTGCACCAAAGTGACCCGTATTGGGAGAGTATGAACTCGCCATTTGTGTGCTTGATTCTTTGTACGAAAATATCGCACAAAACTAACCAGGCAATAGGCTCAATCGTTACTCCATGAATGAAAAGGTAGTCGAAGAATCTCGTCAAAAATTAGAGTGTAAACCAGGGGAAACAAAGCACAAATGAGCTGGCTAGCTTACAGAAATGTGGTTATACTTCACAATTCTTCAGAAACTGCGAGTCTTCTGAAAATTTTTCAAGAATTGTATTCCGTAAAATCATGGACCAGCCAAATGTAGGGCTGTAAATACTTGTTTGTCAACTCGATTTTATGGGATTATGTTTTTTCTCAGATTGGTTGTTTTTAATCTTTCCACATGTTTCAGCCCAGCTAGATGTAATAAACTACAGCAAGGAAGGTATTGTAGGAACGTGCTTCTGCCAGCCGCCGATGGGAAAGCGTACGTTTTACTGCGTACATTTTTTTGAGTTGTGGGAATACTTATTGATTTTTTGCAGCACTCATAACAATCGAAAAGGCCAGTGATTATATCACGAAACAAGGTCTCGCGATTGCGCACAATAAAACCTATATCGACTACACGGCCGTAAGTTTTCTTTTACAAGATTTGATTGGATCTTTTACCGATAAATATTCACTAATGTGCGCCATGGTTGATAGCAAAAAGTACAAAAATTTGAAATCATATGTGGCTTCAGTAATGAAAACATCGCGGTCTGGATGTCAAATCCTGGATAGTACTCTGTTGAA